GAAAATCTAGAATTAAGGTTAGGAGCTCAGACCAAGGGCTCAGGCTGACCTGGGTTCAAATCCCAGCTCCTTCCTTGTTAGAATGGGTGACCTTGGATAAGATGCCTCAGTTTCCCCATCTGAGAAAGGAGGGTACGATTAATAAGCTGCATCCCATGCCGATTCTGTCTGGCATCACATGTACCAGGATGGTGCTTAAGAATGCAGGCCGTGAGGGGCGCCTGGGTGGCTCAGTTGGTTAAGCATCTGACTTCAGTTCAGGTCAGGTCACGATCTTGCAGTGCATGAGTTTGAGCCCTGCTTCGGGTGAGCCCTGTTCTCTCTCTCTCTCTCTCTCTCTCTCTCTCTCTGTCCCTTGCTCACTTGCACCCTCTCTCTCACAAAAAAAAAAAAGAAAGAAAGAAAGAAAGAAAAGAAAAAAAAAGCAGACTGGAAGGCAGGCATTATCTCGATTTAAACGGCTGTGTGACCTTGTGCAAGCCACTCCTTCACTGCTCTCAGCCTCAGACTCCTCATCTGTAAAATGGAAATAATAAAAAGAGTACCCCCTGCTGTGATGATTAGCTGTGATAACATATATAAAGGGTCCGTGCATTATCAGACACCTGGCACCAGATGTGGGTAAATGTTTACATGGGTAAAAGGTTGCGATGATTAATTCTTAAAGTGCCAGGTACTTAATAAGCCCAGGATGGTTTCTGTGAATGGTGGAAGGATGGAGAGTACCTGGTCCTTGATGCTACCCCAGGGGAGGGCTCCCCACATACTGAAGCTCCAGAGTGTGCTCTTTGCAGGCTGGTCACCATACTTCCCTGGGTGGGTCCAGAAGGCTCTTTGAAGATGTCCTTCTGGGCTGTGGCTGACCTCATGCTCTACAGCCTCCAAGGTACACACAGAGCACCTCATTTCGTGGAGACCAAAGTTAATGCTCAGACAGAAGGGGCTTGCCTGCAGCCACCCAGCTGAAAGTTCCATGCCCCCTCTTGGCTGCCTCCCTGGACCCCAGGACATCTCACCTCTCATGTTGCAGATGGCACTCTGGGCGAATTACAGAGCTCATCTACCCTTTGGAACCTCTTGGGACCCTTGCTGGAAGCCCAGTTTCCCAAATCCCTTTTGCAACTGAGTCCCACCTACTACCAGTGTTTCCTTGGGACATACTATAGGAAACGCTGGGCTGGGCTCCATCAACCCATGAGCCGTTGTCTTTATCTTGGCCTCACTTGGGGACTCAGCGAGCAAGGGCTGAGGCCAGTGGTGGACAATGTGCCTGACTTCTCCATTTCCAATTCAACAAGTATTCACCAAGCAAGCATACAGTCTGGATAAAGGCACAGAGGCTGGGGAGGTCATATAGGTGAAGACAGAGGGAAGAGCAACCTCAGTGACCCTGAGTTCGATAGACCTGAGTTTGAACCCCGGCCACTACAGGCCAAACTATCCAACCTCTCAGAGCCTGAAGTCTCATCAGAAAACATATCGGCATGCCTTAGAGGGTTATGCTGTAAGGTGAGAACAAGAATGTGACTCTGCTCGGCAATTAAATGTGGCCAGTAATGGCTGCCATAGCCACAATACTATGATTATACCCATGTTACAGATGGGAAGACTAGGGCTCAAAGAAGGAGTAAAGGGCACATGTAATGAGAGGTGGGCCTCTGATACAAACCTAGCTCAGCCTGATACCAGAGTCCGAGCCTTTAGCCAAGCCTGCCCTCAGAGACCCAGAAAAAAGCCAGAGATTTATAGCCTAGCATGGCTATGAACGAGAACCACGTGGGTGTTCAGAGGATGGTTAAATCTCATATCTTAGACGGAATTGGGAAGGCTTCCTGGGGGAGGTGACATTTGTGATGGGCTGTAAGGACGGGCAGAATAAATCAGGTGAGAATGGAAGGAGGCAGGGAGGCCCCAGGTTGTACAGAGGCAAGGAGACAAGAAAGTCTGTGGTGTATCCTGGGAATGAGAAGCCGTGTGGTCTGGTGGGCTAAAGCTTTGGGCATCCCGGTCATGGGTGGAATGAGGAAGGACAAATAGTTCAAGGTCAGACCCCAAGCAGGCAGGACGCCAGGGTGGGCTTTTGGGCTTGGTGAGTTGCTTTACCCTGATACCCTGCAACCTGGGTCCTGGCTGCAGACTTCAAGCTAAAGCCTGGGTTTCCTAGACAGGTGGCTTTGGCCCAAATCTGGACACACTTCTTGTCTGGGGTGGCGTTCTATGGTATGCCAAAACAGATGTGGGTGTGGGGGACAAGCCAAGGCGGCCAAGTGCTCTTGGAGGGACTATGTGACCCAGACTAGTAGAGGGGCCACTTCTGGGGGATCTGGCCCATGGGATGCAGATAACATGACTTTTAGTAAGACCCCTGACCCTCACACACACACACACACACACACACACTGTTCCTTTCCAGGAGCGTGTCTATACCAAGAGACTCACATGCACCTTGCAGCCCAGAATAAAAACGGGGATAGAGACTGGCTGACAGAGCCCCCCTGTGTCAAGTGACAGGTCAAGTCTTCCATTTGCTCTGCCACAAAGCCTCCCAGTAGCTGGGAGGTGGGACTTTTCTTCTTAGACACCTTTGATGGATGTGGCCTCCGACACTCAGAAAGTGTCGTGTCCCCTAGGTCACATGGCCGGTGAACAAGAGAACCAGCCTCAGACTGGCCGGCCCCTGTCCTGCACTGTTTCTGTCCTGACACAGTGCTGGGCATTTGTCCATAGGGGGATGGGGGCGGGGGGGACTCAAGCCTGAGTCACAGGGCTTTGAAGTTGACAGCTGGATCTGCCAAGCCACAGGTTCCAGAGGTGGGCTGGCCCCTGACTCACCCCCACACCCTGAGCCGGCCCCAGGCAGAGGCTTCAGCTCCTGACCACGCTCTTGCCTGCCAGAGCCCAGCTGTGCGTCTCCTGGGTCATTCATGGCTCAGGATTCCCAAGAGCTGGGCAGGAAGGCCAAGGCCTTCAGGCAAGGAGGTACCCTAGGCACACCTCTGGTCAGGAATTTCTGCCTGGAATCACAGTGAGAGCCCCAGGATTTGCCTGCCTTCTGGGCAGCAAGCTACCCTGATGATACAGGCACCAGGCACTTATTTTTAGCCGACATTTAATTCTAGAACCAAGTACTGTACTTCTGGTGGCCTGACCTCCTGGAGTCTCACCCCTTCCCAGAGGGGAAAGGCGTCCCCCTGGTGGGGCACTGGGTGCGCCTTGGAAAACATGGGTTCTAGGCAACAGAGTGGGTGTGACTCTGAAAAACTACCAGCTGCATGTCTTGGCTAGTGGTAGCAGTGGGACGGGGGGGAAGGTTGGGGTTCCAGCCCCTCCAAGTGCAGGGGCCTAGCAGAAAGAAAAGAATCCCGGCATCACCTTCAGTCTTCATGATTAGAACATGTTGAAGATGGAACCAGGCAGGAAAAGGGGACTAGATGTCCCTCATCAAAAAGATGTCTTTGTAAGAACGAGCTTTGTCTGGTGGGAAAGAGCCATCTTGTTCCATTTCACTGCAATGTTGCGAAGGGACCATGTGTCCAGGCCTGTGGTAAGCCCAGGGGTGGGGATTCCGGAGAAGACCATGTGTCAGCGGGCTCATTGGCTCAGCGAGGAGACACACCTCTCTCCAGGAAATAACCAAATATTTCCAGGACAAATGTAATGTTCTATTCAAAGCTTGTCAATGTTTGACCCTTCTAATCTCTCTAACCATATCTGTCATAAAAGAGGTGGATGCACAGGAGACTGGTTGTGTAAATGTATGGATAGAAGGATAGGTAAAAGGTTAGACAATGGATGCTTGGACAGATGGATGGATGGATGGATGGATGGATGGATGGATGACTGGATGAATAGGTAAAGGGCCTTTGGATATACGTGGTATAGGTTGTTAGTCCCATAGCAAATAAAGATAAGGGGGAAGGTTCCAACTTTGTCTTTTATCCATTGTGTGACCCTGAATAAGTCACTTCCTTATCTATAAAGTGAGAATCTTATCTGGAAAGACCTCATGTATATAGCGAGAATTACAACGCTAGGCTGCCTTCCAGGTCTATTGTGGGTATCTAGTGAAATAAGAATGAATTGTCCATGTCTGCCTAACAGCTGTGACAAGGGACAGACTTGTAGCCATGGGCTATAGGTTGTTTTTACTGTGGGGCTGAGGTCCCCCATAGACCCAGGTGGAAGGCCACTTCTACTCTGGGTGTCCCCACTCCCCCCGTCTGCATAGGGCTCTTTACCAGGGAGGCTGGCCTCCAAAGGAAAGGTGCCACAGGGAAGTTCCCTATGGGCTGGGGAGCCAGGAAAGCACATGGAGGGCACATAGGGTCCAGAGTTAGGGCTTTGAAGTTACACAGACTCATTCGGTAACCTTGGCTCTGCCCCTTTCTAGCTGTCCGACATTAGGCAAGTCCTGAGCCTCAGTTTCCTCATTTATAAGATAGGGACTGATTACGGTACCCACCTCTTAGGTATGGGGTGACGGTTAATGGAGATAATGCATGTAAATTAGTTAGCGCAGTGCTTGGAATATATTAAATACTCGGCAAGTGTGTGTTTACCCCACACCCCTAAAAGGATAAGTGGGGAATGGGGCCCTTAGCACTTTGGAGGTAAGTCAGAAACTTTGAGTGCAGAGATTGTCACCCTGGAGGCTGAGTCCCTGAGTCGGTTTTCTTATTTGACAAAGTTCGGCAGGACTCTCACGACCTCTTGACAAGGGTCCCTTGACGGAACAATATCTGCTTTCGGCTGAAGTTCCAGCAGTTCTGCGGGCCTCGCTGACCCTGTCCTGATTACCCCCAGATTGATAACAAACAGGGCATCTGAGTTATTCCTTTAAAAGTAGAGCTTATGTGGGAGATACAAATCTCTCCAAATGGGCTGAGGCAGAGGGAGGAGGCGACCTAGGAAGGGGGTGTCCTCCCAGGGAAGCCGTGGGCACCAGGCGAGCTGGTCTTGCAGGGCGGAGACTGCCCTTACGGAGACCCAGCGTGGGGACGATGGTGTGGGTGGCGGCGGGCCCTGCTGGCTCGGGTGAGCTGTGACCCGTGGCAGGAGGCCCAGCCCACCCACCAGAAAGAGGCCCCGAGGCTGAGTGGCCCCAGGCCTGAATGGGGGCAGCCCTGCCCTGCAGCCTTGGGGGCAAATCGTGATGGGAATGTCTGAAGCTCCTCAGTCTTGAAATCCCCAGCCCAGGTGGCTCCAGGGCCAAACCTTCCCAACCCCTCATCCCCTGCAGGCTCCAGACATCTCCCCCTGGCCAGCCCTGTCTTCCCAGCGGCTCGCTCTGCTAAACCACCTGCACGGTGTGTGCTTGCAAACCAGACGCTGTGTCCCTTCCACCGGGGCCACGCAGCGAACTTCCTGAAAACTGGTGGGGCCAGGGTGGTGGCAACAGGGAAGCACCTGGTTTTCCAGAGAGGTGAGGGAGCAGAGGGTCTCAGGCTGGTGACCAGAGGCTACAGGGCTGTCCGGGGAGCTCTGAACTCTGGTCACATTGGTTCTCAATGCCATAGGATGTCAGAGCTGAGAGCGCCAATCTCGGTCAATGGGAAGGCAGCAGACATGCCTCCCAAGGAAGCCAAGGATGGGGCAGGACTTGCCCAAGGCCACACAGGGTGAGGAGCAGTGCTGGGAAGGAGCTTGCTGCTTCTGCAACTGCACCAGGCACCAGCTCCAGCCCATGGTGCCCTGTGGGACCACGTCGCCATTTAACCTTCACCCCTGTGCACCCTCTATCCCACACAGTGGCCATGGCTGCTGGACAGCCGAAGATATTTGCTCTTAATCCAGAGGGTATGGAGGGAGCTTTGGGGGGAATTGGGGGTGCACAGGAAGATGGCCTAGCCCCGGCCCATGGCCCCGGCCCTCCTGCCACTGGGTCTTTCCCAGCACCCCTTCCCAAACAGACCCAGGGGCTCAACTTGGACCTCTAGGTGTGCTGGAAAGACAGGCTGGAATAGTAGCCATGAGAACATGTGTGGCTCCATCACTGCCTTGAGCAAATTGCTCCTCCTCTTGGACCTCAGTTATCTAATCCAGCAAATGGGAGCAGACACTGTAGAGAATAGTTTCTGGCACAGCGTCTTACCCAGAAATATGCCTCAACTTCTCTCTCCCGCCAACCCGCCCTCCCCACCAATCTCTCCTGGGATTGGGCCAGGGTCAAGCATGAGTGGAGCAAAATATTTTGTGTGCAGAACGATTCCCTCCAAATCCTGACGTTGGGACCTTCGGTGGATCCCTGTCCCCTGACCTGCAGCTTTACCAGCTCAGGCAGGGAACAGAGCCACGATGGGTCAGGGCAGTGCCACAGCTGCTGGCCTGGGGCCACTGATGGGAGCCAGAGCAGTGGGGCTGGGGGCCACACAGTCAGGCCACTGGGAGGGGCAGAGGCGACCATCAGGGCCAGGCTAGAGAGCAATGGAGCTGGGGCTGGGGCTATTTTTAACTCAGCTTAATTTTCTCTACCTGGAAACCAACTCTTGCCGGTGGGGTAGCGCCGTTCCGGGAACGCTCTCACCCCCGAGGATCAGGGCTCTCTCAGGTTCCGGGGCTGGCCCTCTCCATTTCACAGGAGCCCTGTCTGCCCAGCCCGAGAGCTGCGCGCAGGGCAGGAGGGGAACTGGAGCCAGGCACAGCTCCCCGCGCTGACCCCGCGAGGCCCAGGCGGTGGCCCCTGCCCTGTCGTCTTCCTCCTTTCACACCGGAGAGGGATCCTGTCTCCTGGTCCGTTTAATTCTTCTATTATGTTTCCCAGACTCGGAGCCTCTGGTTCCCTATTGTCCTGAGCAGCACTTTGCATTTGTGTAAAGATTAGACGCAGTGGAACCTTCGCTCTCCTTCCAAATGGTCTTTCTCTTTTACTTTCTCAAATCCGAGTTCGTTTTCTGGCGCTAGGCTCTGCTTCCTTGTCCTCCCTCTCTCCCTACCTGTCTTTATCTGCCTCCCTGTTTGTTTTCCTCGCCACCCAGACCCCCTCCTGCTCCCTGCTGACGGGCTTGTTCTCCTTTCTTCTCTTCATGGTTCAGTAGTTTGAATTCTCTATCCACCCCCTCCCCCCACCCTAACCCTGCTTAATTCCGTATTTATATTCTCTCGGAGGCTAATAGAAATGACTAGGAGTATTGCTCACCTCATTCCAGAAATACTCTTCTAAATTCTTAGAGAGGCACCTTGCGGGGGAAGGCAGTGAGCACTGCGTGGGGAGTCTCTGTTTTTGCTGGAGAGACCGAGATCTGAGACCCAAGTCCCTGTGCCGGCTCTGCATTTACCAGCTGTGTGACCTTGACCTGACAGGGCTCTTTTCTGAGTCTCCATTTCGTCCTGGGCAGTCGGGGAGCTCATCCCAGATGATAACAGCTACCTTCCCCGGGGCCACGATGGAGAGAAGGTGAAAATGCTCTGCACAAGCGGCCGCCTAGGGGAAGGAAGGTAACTTGAGAGCTATCTCCAGCCTCAGGTTCCGTCCCTCTGTACCAGGATGGCACAGCATATGCAGACGTCCATCCGTGCTCTGGTCATGCCCTAGGAAGAAGAAGCCCTCCTGTTCTCTGTGGCCGTCTCTTGTCCCCTTCGTAAATAAACAACAGCGATGACAAACTTGCTGCTGAACCCAGGAACTAAGACTCGAGCGCCCTGGGCTCCTGGGGACCTAATTTCCACAGTTGAAAGCCAGGCGCATATCCATCCATTCCCCCTTCCTTGGAGAGCCCTCCCCCAGAGGGTTCCTACTGTGTAGCAGGCAGGCTCCAGGCCCTGCGTTCTCTGGAGTTCTGGACCTCAAGATTGCTGGAGAGATAAACCCAGAGTCATGAGTCAGGCAGGCTGGAGAGTAAGGCTCCCGGAGTTCCGAGAAATGAGAAGGCTTTTCCTGTTGTGCCTGGAGACAGGGTCCCTGGAAGACATTGCGGGAGGTGGACTCTGAGGCAGGGCGGGCCAGGAACAGAGGGCGACTGTCAGTTTCACGAGGGGCTTAGTTCAGCACCAGCACATCCCCGCTCTGTCTCCGGCAAGACCTGGCTTCTGAGCCAGTAGAGGGACAGAAGCAGAATGCTATCCCCCAGGGCACACCCCCACTGTCTTGCCCTTTTTTTTTGAAAGAGAGAGAGAATGTGAGCGGGGAGGGTCAGAGAGAGGGGGACAGAGGATCCCAAGCAGGCTCTGCGCTGACAGCAGCGAGCCCAATGCAGAGCTCCAACTCACCGAGTGCGAGATCATGACCCGAGCCGAAGTCAGACACTCAATTGACTGAGCCACGGAGGCACCCCTGCCTTGCTTTTTCTTTTCTTTTCTTTTTTTAAATATTTATTTATTTTTGAGAGAGAGAGACAGCGCATGAGCAGGGGAGGGGTAGAGAGAGAGGGAGACACAGAATCAGAAGCAGGCTCCAGACTCTGAGCTGTCAGCACAGAGCCCAGCGTGGGGCTCGAACCCACAAACTGCGAGATCATGACCTGAGCCGACTTAACCGACTGAGCCACCCAGGTGCCCCTGCCTTGCCTTTTTTGAAGGGAGTACCCACCGAGGTGAACCAAGCACCCTGCCATGTCCAAGGTGGGGGACCTTTCAAGGAGTGCTTTGTATGTGTGCCCACAGGGGCAATAGATTCTAGAAGGGGCCAGAACTCCTATCCCCGGGCCCTGGGAGGAGGGATGGGGAAAGAGGGAAGAGGGACACTTCCTGAGTGAGGTAAGGATGAGACAGCTCTAGGCTGGTCAGAGGTCAGGGGTAGGGGTGAGTTGTGTCCTTCACTGAGGAAAGCAGGCCCAGAGAGGGATCTGACTTACCCAAGGCCACACAGCTTTGAGCACCCCCTTTCCCCTCCCACACGATGGAAAGAGCATCCTCAGCCTGGTTGGCAGTAGGCAGGTGGGACAGCAGGGTCTCTTCTAAGGAGAAAGCAGGTTTTGCTCATGGATGTCCCTTTCCCAACTCTTAGCTCTGGGCAAGAGCTATGGAACAACCACGCAGAGTGAGGAATGGGACCCAGAGCCCTTTGGGGATGACTTGAGGAAGCCCCGCAGCACTGGGAGAGGTCCCTGGGCACTGCAGGGGCGCTTCAGTACTCCAGGAGGTGCTCCAGGCACAGAGGGAGGAGCGGGGCCTTCCCTCCCGCCTCCGCCCTCCCCTGCCCCCCCCCTCCAACCGCAGAGGCTGGGGCGGGCCGGGCGCCCGGGGAGGAGGCGCGTCCCTGGCTCTCCTGTGCAGCAGGGCAGGGCTGGTCGGGCAGGGGCGGGGCTGTGCCTGGTGTTATAAGAAGCAGCCAGGGCACTGAGGCAATGAGCTATCGGCTCGGCTTGGCAGCAAGACGCTGGCAGCAGGCAGGCTCCCTGCTCTGGTCCAGCCTGTGCGCTCCACCGCCGCTACAGTCGCCATGCCCGCTGCCTGGTGCTCCATCGCCCTGGCCCTGCTCCTGGCCCTGCATGAAGGTGAGCTGCCCTGGCCTCACCTGCTGCAGCAGCACTGTATCTGCAAGTCAGCTGGGAGCATGGGGGGAGGGGGAGCCCCACAGCAGCGGCAGCTTCAAGGGGCTCTGCAGGTAAAGAGGTGCTGCAGGCACAGGATAGCCGCCAGCCCTTCCCACCAGGGCTGCTGGGGCTTCCCCCGGCCTGCCTGGAGCTCCTAAGCAATGAGAATGCCAACTTCCTCAATTATGCAAGAGGAGGAGCCTGGCGGGTCCCCCCATCCCACTGTGCCAGGCACCCTGACCCACCTCTCGGCCTCTCTCTTTCTCCTGTGCATGCAGGCAAGGGCCAGCTGGCTGCTGCCCCAGACCACCCTGCACCCTCACCCCGTGCCCGAGCCTCCCACCTGCGGCCCCGACGGTGCTCCTGTAGCTCCTGGCTCGACAAGGAATGCGTCTACTTCTGCCACCTGGATATCATCTGGGTGAACACTCCCGGGTGAGCCACGGTGGGGGGCCAGCCAGGGCCGCTAGAAGCGGGGCAGGGGAGGGGGACTCTCTGGCACAGTGCAGCTCTCCCTGGACCTCCAGACAGGATCACCGAGCTCATTTTAATAGTTACTGGTTATTGTTCCAACTCCCACGTGGGGAATGCCTAAGTAATCTCGTGAGAATTCTCACGGCAGCCTGGTAAGAAAGTATTGGCTCCGTTTTCCAGATCAGAGTACTGAGGCTCAGAGAGGTTGGGGGCCTTCCCCGAGATGACACAGGAAGGAGTAAATGGTAGACAGAGGCTCCATCCCAGGCCCACAGGTGCCATGCTGCCTCTGCACCATCTTCCAAGAATAATACAATTCCTGACAGTGCCCATGTCTCGGCCGTGCCAGGCCCCATGCCAAGCACTGCTCATATGTCATCAGCTCCTGAATCCTCCCCGTGGAGCAGGCAGTGCTGTTGTCCCCAGAGATGAGAAACCTGCCCTATGTCACCTGGTGGAGCTGGGGTGGGAGCCTAGTGCTGTCTGTTCTGTCTGCACCCGCACTGCCTCCGGGCCACTGCATACTTCAACTTGAAGTTTCTGTGTGTGTTTGTGTTTTTTTTTTTTTTCCCTTCCCCAAATTGCAAAAGGCAAGAGAAACCCTGCACGTAAGCGTGTGTGGAGCTAATCCGCATCTAAACACTCGCTCAGGGCGGGAACCTTGCCAGTCCCTGCGTGCTGGGTCTACCTAGAGTCATTACAACTCCAACCACATCGTCTAAAATTAGCTCTGGCACCCGAAGGTGCTGGTCCAACCGGCCACAGGGCCCCGGCCCTGCCCCCAGCCCGCCTTGGCCAGACTTTCAATCTGAAATCAATCCCACCAGATCTCACATACACACGCATGCACACGCAAGCACATGCACACACCGTTTTTAAGTCAGAGCTCTAAGGCACATTTATCAGCCCTCCAGGCAAGTGGTGGCCAGGTGAGGGCAGCTGAGCTGCGAGCGCGTATGTTTACTGCTGTCAGACGGTGTTTTCTCCCCTCCTCCAGGGGTACTAGCTAGGATCCCTCCTTCAGCTTGAGTTCTAGCTGTGAGACAGGAAGAGCTGGGAGGACTCCCCACTATCCCACTTAGGGAGGGAGCACGGTTCCACCCCCTCCTCCCCATGCTGGGTGTCTTCCCTGGCAAGGCCAGAGGTGGGGAGTGGGGAGTGACCGAGGCCCAGAAAGGGGAGAGACCTTGTCCAGGACCACCTGGCACCCAGGAAGAAAAATGCACAGAGGCTTCCTGAGGTCGGGGGTGGGGGGAGGGGCTGGCAACCTCTTGCTTCCAGCCTGGTGGCCTGGTTGGCCAACCCAGTGTGCGTCGTGGACAGTCTCTGCCTGCCAGTGGTCGTAGCTCATCTCATTGTCTCTCCCTCTCCCTCCCCCTCCTCTCTCTCTTCACCCTACACCACTACCTTGCTGGCTGCCTGCCCACAGACAGACAGCTCCTTACGGCCTGGGAAATCCGCCAAGACGCCGGCGCCGCTCCCTGCCAAAGCGCTGTGAGTGCTCCAGTGGCAGGGACCTCACCTGTGCCACCTTCTGCCATCGAAGGCCCCGGTAAGTGTGTGCCCAGCCTGCAGGGGCCAGGGGTGGCTGCTAGCCTGGATGCCCCTGGAGAGCAGGGGGTCTGGAAGATCAGCACAGGAGCCGAGCGACTAACAGTGAGGGGTGGGGACAAGGTCCTGGGGGCCCATAGGCTGCCCTGGGCCCATGGGTCGTGCCCCTTTCTGTGGGTAACCAGTCACCCCAAGTTCCTCCTACTCCCCAGCTCTGGGGTCTTCCAAGAGCCTCCCTCCCTCCCTCCTCTCTAGGTGACAGCTAAAGCAGCTCGGGCCTAGAGAGCGGGCGGGACTTCTCAGGACACACTGCTAGTCAGAAGGAGAGCTGGGCTTTCAGACTTAGTCTGTCTGACCGACAAGTCCAGGGGCTTTGGATTCGGAACTGAGGCTCAGAGGGCTTTGGAGCTTCTGTGCAGAAGTGACATCTGGAGTTGGGAGACTCCAGCACCATCCCAAGGGTGTCACAGAGTTGCTGAGGAAGGGGGCGGGCAGAGGTGCTCAGCCACATCTCTTCACTCTCTGCACCTCAGTTTTCCCATCTGTTAAAGGGGTGGGAGACTTTGTTCCCTCCCTCGTCCACTCGGAGGGTTTGGGGAAAGCAGAAAGCGGCTTGACAATCTCAGACCTCCCATCCCCGTGATGGTTTATGAGAAACTCCGCCTCTGAGACTCAAATTGTGACTCCACCCCTGCCTCAGTTTCCCCTATGAAAGGCTGTGCTCAGCTGCAGGTGGCTGGATTCTGGGAAGGCCGGGCTCCCAGCTGCCTCTTTCTGAGGCTAAGACCGTATTCCCGGTAGCTCAGTTTTCCTCAGTCCCCACCCCGCCTGGGAAAGGAAGGATGCCAGGTGCACAGGGGTGGAAATGGATCTGCTGGGGCGGGGGGAGGGGGGGCACTGGGCCCACAGCCAGGTGCTCTCAGGGCCCCGGACAGCCCCTCACTCGGGCCCTCACGCTGTTCCTTCAGGCCTGAAGCCGTGGGAGCCCCCGGCAGCGGACCCCCTCCAGGCGTGTCGCAGGCTGGCAGGATGTGGCTATCGGCAGGAGGGCTCCTCCAGCAGCTGAGGTAAGCGGTGCCCCCGCCGACAGAGCACCTGCCGTCCGCTTGCACGTTTCCGTCGTTCTCCGTATGAGACAGGACTGGGTCCTTCCTGGGCAGCCGAGAGAACTGAGGCTCAGGGAGGTTACGGCATTTGCCCAAGGTCACAGCACCCTGTGGCATCTGGCTGTGCTCTCGACCGCTGTTCCCACCAGGCTGAGAAGGGGACTTTCTTAGGCGGGCTGAGGGACTGTGACCACGGAAGGCCCTCGACTGTTCCTTCGGGTCGTGTCTGAATGAAGCACCTCTTATGTGCTGGGTCCCGAGTGGCCGACCACCCAGCCTGTCCCCTCCCCGCTGTCCCAGACTAGATCCCCTTCCTGGCAGCCTCCGCAGAGCTCAGCTCGAGGCCTGGCACACGGGAGGTGCCCACGAATGTCCGCCCAACCAAACTGACTTGAGAATAGAGACCGCATCTGGCGGTGTAGACAGGTGGCTAACAGGGTGGCTTCTGAGCCAGCTCTGTTGCCAACAAGGCTTTGTGACCTTGGGCTTGTCCCTTCACTTTTCTGTGCTTCAGGCTCCCATTTTTGAAACAGGGACAGCAGTGCAATCCATCTGTAGGGTGTTGTTGTGCGGGTCGAAGAGTTAACCTATGTGGGGCACCTCAAGCAGGGCCTGGCTCCCCATGGGAGATTTGGAGGTGTCGACAGTCCCGACCTCTGTCCCTGAGGCTCTCGGAGCTGGATGGGGCCCAGCTTGGCCCCTCAGGGTCCCCCATCTTTGTGGAAGAAGGCTGAAATGTAGGAGAAAGGGCAGCATGGTGGGTTGGGAAAGACCCAGCATATACTTCGGAACTGTCTTTGGATGAAAGAAAAGCTCAAGATTTAGACTTTGCAAATGCAAGGGCACCTCTTGGTGGGCAAACAGCTTGCTTTTGCCCTATTCAGGCCTCGTTCAGGCCTATTTTTATTTCACAGATTGAGAGAGGGGCTCAGAGAGGTTGACGCACCTGCCTGAGCTCCCAGAGCTGGGAACTGAAGCCAGCCTCTCCAGTCGGGGACACTTTGAGCCTGGACGAGACCACTTGGATGACGTCAGAGTCCCTGCCAGGGTCTCATCCCGGTTCAAAGGGAAGCTAGGATCCATATTTGTCTGGGTTGAATGACCTGGAGCTGGACCTTGAAGAATGGGAGTTCTAGTAGGTTCAGTGAGGGTGAGGGGAAGGTAAACAGCCTAGAAGGAACGGCATGAGCAAAGGTGTGGACGTGGGCAGGCAAGTCATAGCAGACACTTGGCCCTCTGGTCCTTCCAGCAGTATTTGATGTTGAACATCAGCTTTGTCAAAGTCCCCCATGGACAATCAGTGCAGCTTCTAGGCCGGGTCTGGCCCATCCTTGATGCACAAACTTTGTTTTCAGGGTCAGCTATGGCTGACCTCTGACCCCAGAGCAACTATAATTAAGGGGGCCAGCTCCTATCACTGCTGCCTCTCACTGGGAATGCATGGGCAGTCCATATCTCCTGAGGTGCTAAGTTGACCCTTCTTGATTCCAGGGACATTTCTGCAGCCAAGAGCCACTTTGCTGGGCAACAGCAGGTGGCAGTGAGGGAATCGAGGCCTGCACATCCCAAGCGGAGGAAGAGATAACGCTGGTTGCCAAGGAATGCCGGAAAGGAGCCTGTGTGGAGCCCGGAGGAGAGGGGCAGCCCAGGGCCCACCTGCTGGGATGGCACGCGCTCTGGCCTCCTCGTGCAAGTGAGGGAACTTCCCTCCAGGCAGCTCGTGCCCTCACACTGCCCGGGAAAGCCTTCAGCCACGTCCCACTGCCCTCATCAGCCCCAGCCCCACATGCCGCCGGAAGGAACCGCATGAGGAGTGTGCTAACCTGGAGGCCACGTCCCGAGAGGTTTCCTGTCTGTCGGCTCTAAACCAGGATCAGTGTGCAGCCGTGGACAGTCAGACCCAAGCCAGCCCTGGAGGCTGGACAGGTCTGCCTAAGGGCTGGTGTCCTGGGTGCCGCCCCCCCCCCGTCTGACCCTTCCAGCTCTGCCTCCCCAGAGTCCTCATCCCCTCTTACCCTCGGGATGCTCCTGGTGAGAACAGCCTGCTCTACTTCACCTGCCTGTATATAACTTATTTGCTCTAAGAACTTGGAGAATCCCACTTATTTATTTTAACGTATTTTTGTAGACTCAACTGTTTACCTGTGGACTTGTATTTGTAATAAACAATGAAATGGTACCCTGGTATTTTGTCTTGGCTGAAGCAGAGGTGGGAGGCGCCTTGCAGGAAGGGGCTGCTTGGAAGTTAGGGGGACCCAAGAAGGAGAGGGAAGAGGCCTGTGGCAGGCGGCCGGAGCCCTGCGTTCCACTCCCCAAGCTCCTGCTGGGGACCTCTGGCTGCTACCCCAGCCTCTCTAGGCTTTTGCCTGTCACGTGCCTGGATAGCCATTTGTGGCTTTGACACCCAGGATTCCTGGAGCTCTGACCCAGCGGGCTGGTCCCTACGGCTGGGCCTTTCCCAAGAGCATGTTTGGAAGGAGTCAAGCCTATGAGAATACCAAGAGCCACTTCTTGTCCAGCTACCCTGTGCCACTGGGAGCTGTTGTGAGGCCCAGAGCCAACCTGCCCAGGGAGGGCTGGGGCCAGATGGTTCCCGAGACAGTAGCCAGTGATGGGTGTTATAGTGGAGCCCTGGCCTCGTCCCTTGCCTTGGATCTTGCTCACTTTCTGGACTGAAGAAGCCCAGGGCTCTAGGATTGGGTTGGCCAATGCTCAAGGCCCAAGAAGCAGCCCCCTGAGTCCCAGAGGTAACCGGCAGCCACGATCGCCCCTGCTGACACTTCCTGGACCCACAGCCTGCATTTCTGCCAAATCTCCCGGGGACAAGCAGTTCCCTTTTCTCCTGGCTGGCCTGTGCTGGGAGCAGCAGGTGGCCCAAGCTGGCTACTGAAAGATAACAATTTACGTGCTACTCTGATCCTGCCTTGTCCGTGAAGCCAGCCCTGACACCCTCATGGATGAATAGCGTACTGACGCATATTCAAATCCTACTGTATACTGGCATTGAAATCCTACTGTATACCGGCACTTTACTATATTGATTCATTTCCTCCTCATCACAGCCCTGTGACATGGGTACGTGTATTATCTCCATTGTAAAGATGATGAAATTGAGGCACAGAGAAGGCAACTAACTTGCCCTAGGTCGCATAGTGAGCGAGGGGTGGTATCAGGATTTGAACCCAGAGTCTATAGTACTTATGAATATACGTATTTCATAAATATTATGGATTGAAGTCATGGATCAGCACTGCAGGGGGACCCAGAACAAATCTCTTTCTGGGCCTCAGTGTTTTTCAGTCTATAAAATGAGAAACAATAGTCTCAACCTTGTACAAACACTGAACAGACTGCTGGGCTCAGCCCTGGGCCCAATAGGAGGCAGAAGCTGCTTGTCAGTGCCATCAAAGGGGTTATGTAATGAGCAGAACAGCCCCAGGGCTGAAGGAAGAGGTGGGGTGACGAGGGGTGGTCAGAGAAAGAATCCTGGACAAAGGGGCTACTCCTATAGCCTCCAAAGATGAGAATGGCTCAAACAAATAGAAAGAAATGTGGGAGGGAACTCCAGCCAGAGGGAACAAGGAGATGAAGGCAGGGATGGCAAAGGAGGGGATCCACGGAGGACCCCTAAGTGGCCGGAGCCCGGTGAGGGAAGAACAGCAGGAGACGACACCAGAGAGTCCTTGTGGCCAAAGCGAGGAGGCTGGACCTTCTCTCATGGGCCGCAAAGGGTCTATGAGTGCCAGGGGCCCTGGTCAGAGCTGGGCTTCTAGAATATGCCACCAGAGGGCTGCACAAGGCCAGAGTGAATGGGGAAGCAAGTTCACCACCCCACCCCACCCCACCCTAACCCCACCCTCAGGGGTCCACAGAGCATCCTGGGTGGTGAGGGTTGGGGTAAGGGAGCCCAGGGCCAGGGAACACCTCTCAAATCTCAGCAGAGCCCGATGCTGGAAGACTCTCCCTCCCCGGCAACCCAGCATTCCATGCAAAATGGCCCTGCCTCCCGGGAAACCCAAGAGCAATAGCCAGTGGCCAGGCTGGGCAGCTGAGCAGGGCCACCCCAGGACGGCAGGTGTGATGGCAGCCTGACAGGAGGGTGATGAGACACTGGCGGAGGGCATGTCAGAGGCCCGGGGAGGCAGGCACGGGCCCCTGTGGCCCTGGCCAGAGTTCAGAGATCAGAGGCTCAAATGATTAAGTCACAGAGATGATTAAAGGGAGAGGAGGAGGCCCAGGAGGCAGGAAAAGGCAAGGTGACAAGGCAGTCCCCAGGATCCTGACTCCTGGGGACTGAGGGCTTCCTGCACTTTGGGGGGATCCTACTGCGGCCTTCCTCAGTCGTGCCTCTCTCTGCGGGGCAAGAGGTTTGCAAGGCCAAGGTGGGGTGTGTGCCCCTAGTCTGCGCCTGCTACCAGGTCACCCTGTGGAGCTGGGGCGCCCGGAGTACGGGGGAAGGAGGGACAGTGCAGAAGGGGCGGAGGGAAATCTCTGAGGAGCGGCTCCCAAGTCAAAGGAAACCCTGGGAAGCAAGATGTCAGCATTTGGGGAAGTTTGTCTGGATTTTATAGGACATCTCCCCTTTTGCTGCCTTCTTCTGACTTTTCCATAAACACTTAACAGTTTTGTCAAGGCTTTTTGAGTCCAAGTTAGGTCCCTTTTGGCTAGAACACCAGGCAGAGACAGGTCAGAAGGGGGCACAGAATGACCCAGGTTCACTCAGGTACCATGTACAGATGGAGGCTGAGGCAGAGGGGAGTTTGGTTCCAAGTCCAAGACCACGCAGCCTGATACACACCCAGGCTGTAGACTGGGTCTTACCGTCCCCTCACTCAGGAAAGAACCCCAAGGAATGAGCCTCTCTCTCTCTCTGATTAAAAATGGAGACCAGGTTGTTGGGTTTCCAGTTCAGAAATGTCATCTGCTAATGAATAATCACCTCTCAGGAGACTCCTGTGAGCAAGACAGACACAGCTCTGGCCCCGCAGGCCAAGAGGAGAGCCCTTCAAAAAACCACTATTGGGAGCACCTGGGGGTCTCAGTCAGTCAGTCGGTTAAGTGTCCGACTTCAGCTCAGGTCATGATCTCATGGTTCCTGAGATCAAGCCCCGCGTTGGGCTCTGTGCTGACAGCTCAGAGCCTGGAGCCTGCTAGTGATTCTGTGTCTTTCTCTCTCTCTCTGCCCCTCCTCCACTCACATTCTCTTTCTCAAAAATAAACATTTAAAAAAATTAAAATAAAGTTTAAAAAAGCACCATTAAATATTAAGATATAATAATAACAACAAAAACAATAGCTAGCATTTACTGAGCACTCACTAGGCGCTTTCTGGATATGAATTCCTTAGTTCTTTACAACAACCTATATGGCAGGTTCTACCATTATTATTCCCATTTTACAGAAGAGGTAACTGAGAGGTAACTGAGTAACTTGCTCAAAGTCACAGAGCTACTGTATGGCCGAGCTGGGATTTAAACCTCAGGCTCTAAACTTCTATGTCTTACTGCCTCTCTGTTAGGACATCCACACTGTGATGGAGTTCCTGGGGCGAGGGAGCCCAGGGTGGCTTCCTGAAGGAGGTGACATCTAGGCCAAGCTCAAGGGAATCAGTCAAGTGAAGGAGAGTAGACAAGAGTGTTCCAGGCAGATGGAGCAGCAGAGGTGAAGGCTTGGTGGGGGGAAGGGAGCTCTGCTCAGGAGCCCCCTTTCAGGGAGCCAAAGAGGAAGGGGACATGGGGAAGCCTGGGGAGGGGGAGGCAGGAAGGGGAAGCGCCCTCTTGAGCCCCAGGTCAAGCCTGAGCACCTAGCATGGGAGAAGGAGCTCCAAGCAGAGAGGTCTACAGAAGCTGTCACTCTCCGTCACAGCCTCAGACAAGGTCTCCCAGGAGAATATGACTGTGCCTGCAATACCCTCCACTTGTGCTTCGTGCCTTTGGAGGCGCCCACCCTTGCTGCCCTCGAGGGCTTCACAGGCTGGCAGGGAAGACAGACAAGTCCGAGGGAAGGGACGGGAGGTGGGCTATATTACGGACTGCCCTTCCAGCTGGGTGCGTAGTGGAAGAGAGTGGGTAAGGTTTGCACAAGCTGGAAGAAGGGGAAGGGCATCGTGGCTGGGGGGAAGGGCATGAAGGGTGTCTGGCCGGAGCTTGGAAGGATCTGAAGAAAGGCAGCCGGCCTGATCAGCATGGGGCCAGGCTGGGAATGGCAGCCAATGCCAGGAATTTGAACTTGAGTGATGGGAACCAGCAGAGGCGGCTAAGCGGGGAACAGCGAGGGCAGGAGCTGGCCTCGGGCAGCGGGCTTGTCGCTGTCCCATCCTCAGCCACTGCTCGCAGTTCACCAGGGCCCTCCCGGCCCCTCTCAGGGGAGAGCAGACTGTGGGCCGTGCCTGCCAGGGACCTGAGCCAAGAGCCCTCAGCAGCTCGGAAGGGGGCCGTGTGCAGGCCCGCCCCGGGAGCCCTGAAGAGGAATGTGGCTTAATTAATTCTCCGAAGCTCAGAGGGCCTCGCCTTGTGGGAGCAGCTGCCGGGGCAGGCCTGCCAGGCTGCCACTGGCCCAGCCTGTCGATCACTCAGTGCCGAAGAG